CCGTTTGGATAAAAGTCGACGTGGCCCAATGGGTTTGGGAAACCCAGGATCCCCCCATCCGTGTGGATCACGTCCACGAACGTGGCGTCCGTCCTCGCCAAGTGGCCCTCGTTGCCCGTGTTCATGTAGAGAGGATAGGCGGCGTCCAACCCAGTGATCCTGCCCACCTTTTTAAGGGATTTTTAAACTTTAAGTAATTCGTTTGAAAAAAAAAAAAAGAAGGAGAAAAGGATAAAGTTTTGGATAAGTTTTTGCTCACCTTCCGCGGGGACAAAGCTTTCCCCATGAAACCAGCTATCTCGGCCCCCAGGCTGAAACCAATTACGTGCAAGTCGGGCAGAGACACGGCCCCCCGAGCGGCCAACCATTCGACCAGGCGGGCGACCTGAGGCCCGACTATTCTAGTGTTTCGAACCGCTGTCACGTACCACGGCAGGCCAGCCAACTTGGCCCAGTTCACCAGAATCACGTTGTACTCCCCTCGTCTCAGATAGACTGAAACGAATTCCCTTCCCGTGAATATTTCGAGGGGAAATTGGCAATTTTTTGTATTTCCACGGATTTCGAGTTGAAGCGTCGAATCGATCGTGATGGCGCGATGGAAACGGTGGAGCGGTGAAAAGTTTTCGTCGGAAACTTAGAGCGATCGAGGAATGGCCGCGTTGAAAGGGGCCGAGGAAAATACGGATCCGCGTTCAAGTTTCCGAACTAGCCAACTTTCGAGATCGATTCATCATTCTGTCAAAATGTCTTGCGACGGCTTGTCAATAGATAGGCTTGCGATGTCCTCAGCCTAGTTCCATCGCTTCCTGTCCGCTCGAGTCGGTGTCGCTATTCGACTAATCTGATGACGCGTATTTCGAGATATTCCAGTAGGAGATTTTATACGATCTTGCATTCGTAAAAATTTAAACGGATTTTCTCCATCGGGGAGAATTATTTTTCACCGAAGAACAAACCTTCCTTTCTTAACGTTTCTTCCGTTCTCAACGTTTAAGGATTAATCGAACGAGATAATAGGCCGATGATAATAATGTACGAGATATACGAGTTTAATTAAAAATTCGTTGGATCGTGATTAAATGAATGAGTAATAACTGTAAAAGTACCGTCACGTATTGCCACGGCGCTTCTTCCCGTCGCGCTCTCGCTGTATCCGTGGATGAAAATTACGGTGGGATATCTGTCGTCGAAATTACTCCTCCGTAACGAATACGGGTCCGAAATATTCAACGTTGCTCCGCAATTTGGATTCCTTCTGTGAAATTTCCACCCAATGTCAAATCTAATCTCCAACATTCCTCTATAATTTCTTCTTACCTGGTGTACAGAAGATACTCTATGTCCCGATTCACGTCGATGGGGCAACAGTAAGAGCAGACGCCGGATGGGAACGGCGTGGCGTGGAGCTCATTCTCACCTGGAATGGGAGAGAGAGAGAGAGAGAGAGGAAAAAAGGAAACGTAAAAAAACTCGACCTCGAGCAACGATCTTCGTCGTTGAACCTGAAAAACACGTGCACGTGATGTCGCGTGCTCGTGTGAAATTCGACTACTCTCTCCCCCTCTCCCTCTTGGACGATCCGTCTTCGAAGCATTTCTTCCACCGAAGAGTGGAAAATAACGAATTCGCCGAGGCGATTTATCGGAGCAAGTCGGATGATATATATCCGCGACTGTTATCGTGATTAACGATCGCCAAGCGATTTACATACATCCACCGTCGGATCTCTCGTTGTTGCGTTTCGTCACAAGGGAGAGAGGAAGGAAACTCACACTCCGCGTCACTTGGCTTGGTTTAATACCCGAGACTGGAAACCATAACCCGTCGGGTTCGCGAAACGGAATTCTACGCGGAGAACGGAACGTAAATCAGTTACGTGTACGGCGGTACGCTTTATGACCTGGTAAATTTTGCCAGGCGTCGCTTATCGCCGCCTCGCTCGACCTACGTAATTTCCGCCGAGGACAAAGAGGCAGTAGTAGCAGTAATAGTAGTAGTGAAGGGGTCCCCCTCCTTTTCCGCGTCGTCTCGTTACGCCGATCTCTGTCACGTGATCCCTCCCCTCTCCCTTCCCGTTCCTCGGGTATCGTGCCCGTCGGCGATTAAATTTTTTTTATTCGAAACGAATAACGAAACGTTTGTCCAACATCGACCCACGGACGGATTACCTACGAAGAGAAATAATCGAAACGAAACGGAGGAGAATGGGTTGCGGCGGATGGACGAAAATTCGATTCCGTTGTTTTGTCTTCGATCTACGAAACGTGATGAACCTTTCCTTCGTCGTGATGGAAATTGATCCCAATTCCCGACAACTCGATGAAAGGATACTCGAACTTCGAGGAAAGGTTATGATTTATTTCTTATTAAGGGAGAAAGCACGTTCGAAAGCGTTCCACGGGACTGATCAACCGTGAGGTATTGTTGCCGCGTATGTGTAGCCGACTATAAGCGTTGTTGTTGGTAAAAGTCGAAGGCGAAACAGGTTCGGGGAAGCGAGCTGTCGCGGTATCGATTACATGCTGTTAATCTAATGCGACACGGTAATGGCGGCTCGATAACCGTGATCTTGCTTGATGAAACGCCAAAGTATTGTTTGTCGTCGTCGCGTGGCCGATAACACGCGCGTTTGTTATTCCGCGATTCGTTCCGTTTTAGGTTTTTTAAACGTGAAAGAACCGACGGCTGTGTTTTTAATTCACAGTGAATCCGTTCAATCCGTTGATTTCCGATTGGTATATCGTGATATCACACTTCGAAGAAGTAGAAGCGTTCGAAGTGAAAGTGGAACAATGCGTGGATAATTTATGGCCGAATAAATCGTCGTTCTCGAATCGAATTACATTCTCTTTACGAACGACGATTAAAATCACGATAATACGATGGCGGATAAATACAAGTCGCGAGGGAAGAGGGAATAATTCTGCATATTTAAAAACTGGAAAACTCGTATTCGCGAGTAGAATTTTCCGCGTCGTGTACAAAAAATAAAAAAAAAAAAAGCTGTGGAATTTCCACATACATCGAAATCCTATTCGTGAATGGAAGCATTCAGGATTTTGAATGGAAAGGAGGTCGGCAAAGGCGATCCCCTAAAATTTAAATAGCGCCATTATCCGTCTCTTTGGTTCCGAATACGCGCGCATTACGAAAGTACTCTTTCTCGAGAACAAAGGGTGCAGATATTTCTGGCACTTTCACAGTCGCTTTCAGCCGTTTTTAATTTTCAATCAACCGTAGAAACTTGATTGACTATCCGTCAAATAAAATAGGAAGCCAGATAAATGATCGAGCATCGTTCGTTCGTTCGTTCGGAAATTATATATAAAGAAGGAAAAAAAAAAAGAAAAAAAAATCACTCAAAAGAATAAAATACTTGATCGAAAATTACCTCTTTTAAAGACGATTATGCGGCACAATATAGAAGCGAGAAACAATGGTATCATGTCATCCGATCGGAGAGATGAAATGATTCGAAAACAACGGAACTGCTAACGGAAAGAATCGGATTCGAACCAGATGCAAGAGTAAACTGACAGAAATCGAGAGTTGGAATCTCTTGCATCGCCTCGGACGATTCGAGCATAACGCCACTTTTTCCACGAACTTGGAGGCATTTACTTTTACAAGATGGTTCCGTATCATTAAACTCGAAAAAAAAGGAAAGTCTCGCGTCGACTGTATTCAAGACGAGATTCAGATTTTGTGTGAAAATATCTGAAAAAAAAAAATAGAAATAAAAAATTCGCCTAGCGTAGAGCTAGACAGAGTTTTGGTATACGTGCTATAACAATTACCGAGAAAATTGAAAGCAATAAATTGGGAACTAATCGAATGCTTGATGGATATCTTGCCGCTACGATTGGAAATCTAGGAACGGTGTATCGGATAGAGATTGCACAATTTCCTCGTGGTAATTCCATTATCCCGACGACTGCCGAGATTTTGAGGAGTTTAATCGATCGAAATAACTCGTAGAAATAACGAGACTGCCATCGTACGACAAACAGTATAGGAGCATAAATAATACGACCTGTGCAGTTTGAATTTTTTCTTTCGAAAGTCGTATGTATTTCCCCCTCGATCTTCTAGTTGCCTCGATCCTCGCGAACTCGAATGAAACTCGACGTCGCGAAACGAAGTGTGTTTTCACTCGATGCCGGATGATCCTGCTCCGGAGGATCGTCCGGTTGTTCCGCACGTACGTGTATCTGGGTCAGGGTGCTTTCCGGATATTAGGGGGATGATGCGCAAAATATCCCCTCCACGATGCAACATTGATACAGCAACTTTTCACCGTGTGACGCACCGTGTCGACCATCTCGAATCAAATCTCTTAATTCCGATCTATTTGCTCGAGTCGATACCCCTTTCGCTCTTTTCAAGGTGCGAATCCTTGTTTTCTCGATCGTTCGAGTCCGTTACTTTTGATCGATGCGATAATTTATATAGCAATAATCAAGATATCGAGATATTGGATAATAAAGATATATAATATTCTTGATGGTTTAAAAGAAAATCTTCTAAAGATTCAAGATGGAATTCAATCATTTGGCGTAAAAAAAAAAAAAAAGAAGCTCGCGTAAAAGGGAATAATAAAGAAACCTACAAAGTCGTAACACGTGGATCGATATATACGTGTAAGAATAGGATCGGGAACTATTATTTGAGGTATTATATTACGGTATTACAATTGTTTTCAAGACAATTGTTTCCAAGAAAAAGTCTCGGTTACGAAGGAAAAGAAGAAGAAGAAAAAAAAAAAAAAAAAAAAAA